CATCGGTTGCGTAATGCTATGTGGAAGCTACCTGGTCTGTCGCTCCGCACGTGCGTTGTCAGTAGACCCCCCCATACACAAGCGTACACATTTGGGTTAACCCGCCTCCCCCCTCCATGCGTACGTACTAAATGGATGAGCCCTATGTGTGTGTGGCGAGTAGAAGAGGCTAGTGTGTGTAGTGGAGGCTCCTGTGTGTGGTGTGTGTAGTGGAGGAGGTGTGTGTGTGTGGAGGAGGTGTGTGTGTGTGTGGTAGAGGTGTGTGTGTGTGGTAGAGGTGTGTGTGGTGTGTGGAGGTGTGTGTGGTGTGTGGAGGTGTGTGTGTGTGGTGGAGGTGTGTGTGGTGTGTGGAGGTGTGTGTGTGTGGTGGAGGTGTGTGTGGTGTGTGGAGGTGTGTGTGTGTGGTGGAGGTGTGTGTGTGTGGTGTGTGGAGGTGTGTGTGTGGTGTGTGGAGGTGTGTGTGTGTGGTGGAGGAGGTGTGTGTGTGTGTGGAGGAGGTGTGTGTGTGTGTGTGGAGGTGTGTGTGTGTGGTGTGTGGAGGAGGTGTGTGTGTGTGGTGTGTGGAGGAGGTGTGTGTGTGTGGAGGAGGTGTGTGTGTGGTGTGTGGAGGTGTGTGTGTGTGTGGAGGAGGTGTGTGTGTGGAGGAGGTGTGTGTGTGTGGAGGAGGTGTGTGTGTGTGGAGGAGGTGTGTGTGTGGAGGAGGTGTGTGTGGTGTGTGGAGGTGTGTGTGTGTGTGTGGAGGAGGTGTGTGTGTGGTGTGTGGAGGTGTGTGTGTGTGTGTGGAGGAGGTGTGTGTGGTGTGTGGAGGAGGTGTGTGTGTGGTAGAGGTGTGTGTGTGTGAAGGAGGTGTGTGTGTGTAGTGTAGGAGGTGTGTGTGTGTGTGGAGGAGGTGTGTGTGTGTAGTGTAGGAGGTGTGTGTGTGTGTGAAGGAGGTGTGTGTGGTGTGAGGAGGTGTGTGTGTGGTGTGTGGAGGAGGCGTGTGTGTGTGTGGAGGAGGTGTGTGTGTGTGGTAGAGGTGTGTGTGTGTAGTGTAGGAGGTGTGTGTGTGTGAAGGAGGTGTGTGTGGGTAGTGTAGGAGATGTGTGTGTGTGTGAAGGAGGTGTGTGTGGTGTGTGGAGGAGGTGTATGTGTGTGGAGGAGGTGTGTGTGGTGTGTGTGGTAGAGGTGTGTGTGTGTGGAGGAGGTGTGTGTGGTGTGTGTGGTAGAGGTGTGTGTGTGTGGAGGAGGTGTGTGTGTGGTAGAGGTGTGTGTGTGTGGAGGAGGTGTGTGTGTGTAGTGTAGGAGGTGTGTGTGTGGTGTGTGGAGGTGTGTGTGTGTGTGTAGTGTAGGAGGTGTGTGTGGTGTGTAGTGTAGGAGGTGTGTGTGTGTGGTGGAGGCTACTGTGTGTGTGTGTGTGTGGACGCTGTGTCGGCCCATGTTGTGTGGCGGATCCCTGGCTGTAAGCGGATAACGCTCATGTATTGATTGGCTGGAGTCACTGTGTCTGATATAAATTCCCTAAATCCAACTACGGTTACAGGGACTGCCCTTAATATTTTATAACTCTTTGTCTCCAAATTTAGCTGATTTACGTCTCGGGAGGACCCTACCATTTTTCACGGCAATCACAGCTAGACTGGCCATCAGCTTCATACCATGACAGAGGGTAATTGGGGAGGTGGGGGTGGTTAGGTTTCAGCACTTTGTATTTTTTTTTTTAAAGAGCAGACTTTAGAGATACTGGTGTTTAATAATTCAGCATATTTAACCATTTATAAAGCAATAGTTCAAATCGTAAATGACAGACTAATAACGCTGCCGACTGATTAGCAAGGCTCCAAGCAAAAAAAAAAGCCCCCTTTAAAGGAAACCGTATCAGCTATTCATGAATTTCTATTTTGTGATGATCAAAAAAACCCCACACAGTTGCAGGCATGTATTATGAATTAAAGTAATATTCAATAACGAGACTTCTTTGCACAATGCACGGGGAAAAAAAGTAACCGACTGAAATTTTCACGTGCCTCACGACAAACACTAAGCTGTTTGGACAGTGCATTATCACACTAAAAGTAATGCTATTTACAAGACACAAACAATCACTCGCAAACCGCACAATCCTGCTAAAACTGTACGACTCATCCGCTGGGATAGGGGAGGCGAGGATGAGCCTTGTCCTGTGATTATTCAAGAAAGGAGATCACAAAGTGCAGAGCATGGAATAATGGGCTATCTCTCCGCTCCCCCACCCCCCCCCCGGGGAAACATTCGGCATTATTGTGTCAGAGACCCGAGCAACACAAGCATTAAATAAACAACAGATGGCCAGGCGGCCACATAACAGACATGCTGGTTGTTGAGTGAGCCGAACAATTTTTCACGAATGGACGAGATCACACTCTTGTCTGCGGATGCCGAATTCGGGCTTTTCTTGGCTTTACCCTCCCGCGTCCATCCAACGGAATTGCATTTGTTCCGGAGCCCACCCCCGGTGGACCAATGAGGCAGCTCCACAAGCGTGTTCACGTTGTCGCCCCCCCCGCTGCATCTTGCGTCCTCGCCCGCATGCTCGTGCGAGCCACGGCCGGCGTGCGGGACCGTCATCTTTCGTGCGCGCGCGCGGAACGAGAGGGGCGCAAGCGGCTCAAGCGCGCGTGCCGCAAGCCGCGGGTGACGCTCGCTCGCTCGCTCGCTCCCCTGCAGACTGCTCGTGTTCGACCGGGGGCCGCGATTTGTCTCTTCTCTTTCCCTTCGTATCCGTCGCCGCATCGTACGACGCGGACGACAAAGAATCTGCACCGGAGGGTCAGGACGCAGCTGGAAACCGCGGCATGCCGGTGGCACGTGGAGGATGCTTGGGGGTGTGGGGGGGGGGAAGAGACAGCGGGCTCGCAGTGTTCAGTCACTGGCATGTGGACAGGAAGACACCGAGATGAAGGGCTATGACTCGGGGCGGAGGTATAAGAAGAAGGATGATGGAAAAGCGGGGGCCATTTATGCCTCTTCATCTTCCAGTATACAACGGCCTTTGCTCGTGGCACAGGAGGCCGACCTCGCTGGCACAGCGCACATTTTTTCAAAGCAGCGCCTCGGTGCTCGGCATTCGAGCGGCACGTCGATCGCTGTCAAGGCGCGGATCTATAAGGCGGGCCGGCGGTGTCGTCACCGCGCACCGGTTGAGACGTGGGTCACGGCGAACGGCCACGAGCAGCCCAGTCGCAAGCGCCGCTGCTGCGCACTCGGGGTCACAAAGCTGGACGGCAAAATCGACGGAACGAAGGAGAGCCGCCAAGATGAGACGGCGCGCGGCGACTCGGCTACGTGAGGGCGGCCAGTGTGGTCCCTGGTGTGGCGTCTACAGTCGGCCCGTGCGGTGGCAAGGAGGTGCAGGATGTGACTTGTGATGTCCCCAAGTTGATGCACCCACAACCGAGCCAGTGCAGCTGCCTCGGGCGGCCACCCAAGGGGAATATTATCCATATGAACAACCTCGCATGTGATGGGCAGTGAAGCATCTGAGTACCGCAAGTAAAATTGCAAAAGCATGGGACGTTTCAAAAGCAGGACTACAAATGACTCATTAGACTAAACAATAGTTGCTCCCCGGGTTATCTGTCCCCCATCCCACCTCGTCACCAGGACTGCGACGGGTGCATGAGGCCTGGCGGATTTTTGCGGCGGTTGATTTCTTGCCGCCCAACGTTTTGCCGTTGTTCTTGTGTACAACAAAATCGAATAAATATAAAAAAAAACACTAGTTGCAAATGAAGGACGCCATACATTCGAATGCAAGACAATCCTGAAAAAGAATCTTGCTTAAGTGAGCCTTTATCCAAATAAATAAATAACTATCATTATTATTATTATAAAATTGGACGTATGGTTTTTGTGGCAGTAATACCTCTATTTGTGTAACATCGGAGAGAATGCGGTGACATAGTACACGAGTGCGTATTCATGTACATATGTGTGTATGTGTGGAGTGGTGGAATTGTGGTTAGTGCACCAGTGACCTGAGTTCGAATCCCGGCCACAGCCAACATCAGTGGCAAGTGAATAGATTCTGGGCCTGGCCTAGCTCAACTCAGCCTAAAATGAGTACCAGTTGGAGGTGAAATTTGTCATGGGACATTTTTTCAGAGTATCAATGTATGAAAAATAATTATAGGTTTTACCCAATAAAACAGGTGTTAAGATGTTCAAACACAAAATATAAACCTTTTGGCATTCTCTGGTCTGACACTGGTGAGACTAGGCCATGAAAGAAGGCTGCCTCTGGTGTAGGCCAATCAGTTTAAAAAACAATGCATAAATGTTATCAGAGCATGTGTGTTTGCATGTTCACCACAAGTACGTGTGGTTAATGCAAACATGATTCATTTCAAAAGGTTTATATTTGGTATTTGAACATCTAAACACCTGTTTTATTGCCAGAAAGGTTAAATCCTATTCTTATTTTTCATGAGGTGAAATGTGTCACCATTAGCAATGGGGAGACAATGGTGGTCAGGCGTGGGTCTGGCCACATTGCCCTGTCATGTGCTGTTTCAGTTTTAATAGGTGCTCACTAACAGCAATTTTCTCAACAGTCTATGTGAGTTACAATGGGGATCTTTAACACCATCATCACCGGTACATCCGGGCCCTGACGGTGCAGGTGGTTTTCCACTGGGCATCTGTTGAGTCAAGCCAAAACCAAACCGTGAAACTCTCTACAACTGAATTTGGTTCTGTGCCAAGCGGGGCCAGTGGTGGGGTTAATACATTTCACATGTGACGTCAGCGGCACTGCTCAGGTTCCGCAATGGACAAACAGCTTGGCCACAGCTGTGCTGCGCAAGTCTGGCTCAACACACCTCGCACCTCCGATTAGCACGGTTGGCTACGTACGGTGTGGAAGAAGTTCAACATGCATACGTACATACAACACGGCCCTGGGGCGGCTTGGCTGTAAAGTGGAGAAGAGGTGATTGTCTTTGCACATCTGTGCGCGTGTGTCCGCGCGTGTCCGCATTGCCTACCTATGAAGTACACCAGCAGGATCGTGAGCAGTGCGGCAGCGGCAATGGCGGACAGGGCAGCGCAGCGCCAGCTGCACACGCGGTACGGCTGCTTGAAGGTGAAGGTCCCTCGCGGGAAGGTGCCGCGCGGGAGGGGCCGCGTCGGAGGAGAGTACGCAGCGCTGGACGTCAGCGGGTAGCCGGGTGCCGGGCTGCTGAAGAGCGGCGTCGTGCCCGAGCCCGGTTTGAACAGGAAGTGACTGTCACGTGAAAAACGAGCCACGGGCAAACACCGTCAATCGGCGTCTCGTCTGTCGAACGCGCGTGGTGATGAAGCAGCCACATTGACATATTCATCAAACACAAACACATCGATTCATCTCGATTGATGATGATGATAATGATGATTGTTCTAATGATGATGCCCTTTAACTGGATTGTTACATCGCAAAACCCTGACAGATGGAGATGACTTCAAGAGGCCTTCATTCAACAGTGGATTGATAATTGATGATGATGATGCCCTTTAAAAGGTGTAGCGCGATTGGTATGGGCCTGTGGCAAATTCCATCCTTTGAAGTATCCCGGTGCCCAAACTCCTCTGGCCTGTGGACCTCGGTGCAGTTGCATCGTCTGCACAATTCATGGCCATGTCGCCGCGTTCTTTTTTTTCCCCAGGCAAGGCCATCGTGAGTTGCAGAACTTGTTCAGGAGGGGGCTTACAATGGGATGTGTGTCCAATTCCATTAGTGAGTGTTTGGCATTAATTTTCAAACGTCCAAAGCTCTCAAATTTAAATCAGCACAATATCTCTTCCTGGGATAAATTACAGTGCAGATTGTGTCTTAGGGCTATCACACAGTGGCAACTCTTTTGCATAATTGGTTGTATAAAGCAGATGCAAATTCATAAAGAATTTTGAGTTTTTGGCTTTCATTGATCGTGAAATTCTAATGAAAAAAATTTGAGCTTCAAATTATGTATATCTATATTTTAAGGAAAACTCCCATCACACTGCACATCTTCTAGATATTTTAATCCAGGAAATTACTTTCCTCATGATGATGTACAGCTCATTCACGCTACCCACTGGAACAATTTATTAAACTGTCAAGCAAGCGCTCGCACAAAACAACAAGCATACCCCACGCACAAACCGACATGCCACTCCTGTAAAGGCAATGCCAACTTTTAGCCTTCATTCTCTCGCCTGCATCATATACTGTCGTGTGGTTATTATTGTATTTTATTTTAAAGTGGCTGTACACATACAAGTACACTGCCATCCATACTAAAGCACAATATAGTCAATTTATTACATTTGGTGACGTCTCCATCGCCTCTACTTGCCCAAATAAGTCACTTTCATTTCCAGAATTGACATTATTTTTGTTGTTATATGTAAATGTTTATAGTGCAATACAACACATCTACTTAGCCACATTCAATGTTGTATTTAAATTGGCATTAGATTTAATCTAAATTTGTTCAAATAAGCTTTATATAATTTTAAAATAAATTTCCATTTAAAGCTTTCGTGACTGCAGGGATTCATCTTCTTGGTTCTTTCGGTAAAGTCACGTAGAAGGGAAATAATAAAAAAATAAGATAAAACATAATTAAATAATTCTCACGACGTTTCGGCCACAACGCAAGGACGGCTGCTTGCGTTGTGGCCGAAACGTTGTGAGAATTATTAAATGTTTTATTTTATTATTTTATTATTTCCCTTCTACGTGACTTTACCGAAAGAACCAAGAAGATGAATTTTTAAATAGTCTGTGTACTTGAGATACTTTCACACAACCCCCAGGTGACCCTTGTAAAAGAGGCAATGATGTGCATCACAATGTGGTTATTTAATCTCTCGGTTCAACAAAGGAGACAGATTTGAATTGGCTGACCATTGATAATGAAATAGAAAACAAACGCTTCAGACTATATCTGAAGAAAAAAAAAGGTTCTGCTATTTGGATTCCTGGCTATCTGACTGGATTCCTGGCTGACTGACGCGGGTTCGAGCATCGCTCTGATATCTGGCCTCCAGCCCCACCCACCACCCACCACAGGCGTGGATCCTGCACAAATGCGACAGAGGAGAGTAGATAGAGGAGGGAGGAAGAGATGGAGAGGAATGTAGTGGGGTGGGGACAGAGTGAAAGGGCGTGAGATGGAGAGGAAAGAGAGCGAGCAAAACGGAAAGGGGAGAGTGATGAAAAGTGGCACGCCATGGGAGGGAGGCAAGAGAGGGAAGGGAGAGGCGGAAATTGGGAGAGTGAGGGTGAGAGGTGAGAAAGAAATGTAGAGTGAGATCGGCGGGAGGGAAGTGGGTGAGTTACGGTGGAGGTAGAAGAGGAATAGAGAGGGAGGGAGAGGAAGAAGATGGGACACAGGAATAGAAACACAGCTAGAAATAGAGACAAGGTGATAACATTGAGATATGTTTGGATATACAGTACAGGGAAAGCAAGATAAAAGTGGAGAGGGACATGGCTCTATATAAGATAAAAGTTTTGCTGGATGGCTGGCTGCAACGGTCAAGTCCAAAAGACATGCTGATTCCTAGTCAAGGAATATAAATACAACCATAATATTAAAAGCTCATAACTACGTAAGATTTAATGTATAATATGAAGGACTTTAATTATGAGAGATAGAAAAAAAACACGTTTGTGGATTCAGTGGTGAAATCAGCTTTCTATTTTTAATAGCATGACCCTGCCAATAACACTCGCTCTCCGCGCTCACGTTTTTCTTGATGAGATGTGTTCACCGCCGATTCTGCTGCTGCTGCTGTCACAGTTCACGTACGTGACACGGCGAGCCGCGCTGGCTTTTTCGGCAATTTAATGAAAAATGCCTAACAGTGGCAAGGTCAAGACAGCGCCTACTGTATTAGTGAATTAATGCAATAATTTCAGCAGGCACGCTGCATCACCAGACTCCTTTTACGCTGCTCTCAGGTCAAATTGGCTCAGGACCACACACTGAAATATAAGCCCTTTCTGCGGTGGCAGGGCATGCTGACAGGTATTACGGTCGCCTCCTAAAGAGAGCATGCCTCTGCACGGGACTGCATCGTGTTTGCCTCCGAGTCCAAGGTTTATCGGGTCAAACACAAATCCCTTCCCTTGAGTCACAGAGCAGGCCACGACATCACGGTGTCCAGGAATCCTTGAACAGAATCGCTGGGCTGGACCTAGGCTCCTCTACCCCGCAGGTGTTAAGGATCATGGCAGTGTTGCGCAAGCGCGCGTGGCCCCGATCTGCTTAATTGAGGTGATCTTTTGCGCAGATGCGCGCCGGTTCCAGTGTGCGCAGTTGCTGTCGCCGTTGTCACTTTGTGCGATTTATTCGTGTGGCGCGTGATAATGATCGGGCAGTGTGTTGTGCAAGTGCGTGTGCCTCGGTGTGCTTAATTGAGGTGATCTTTGCTTGGAAGCGATGGTTCATGTGCAGTTGTCGTCGTTGTCATTTTGCGTGATTTATTTTCAAGCTGTAGAGAGAGAAATATATATATATATATAAAATGCCAAGTAAATAAAGGAATGATAAATTAGGACATTATCCATGGCTGGGTCAATGTGTGCTCATGTCCAAATTCACCTCCTGTTTAGTTATTCTGTACTGTGATTCTAGCAGTCCAAATCAATTGGCCTGCCTGGTGGCTCAACAATAGAGCAAATGGTTCGGAATCTGACGTTTGTGAGTTAAACATTCTATTTGGGGGTTGACTCAACCCATCATCCCTCCAGGGTTGATAAAATATAAACCGCTTTGTGAGGAAGCCAATCATCCAATGGATAGGCTTGCCCTCGCCATACGAACGCTGAAATGTCACCACTGGCTCACGGCTGTAAACAGAAGACGAGGAGCAACCTGTACGGTCATTTCAACAGGAAATCACTTCGAGTTTTGACTTTCAAGAACCCTTGTTTTTAAATGATATTGATAACTATCAGAACATTCCTCAAACCAAGGAAATTCCTTCAGTCGAGAGAAGGAGATGCCAAAACGTTCATTTGTGTTGCAGTAAGCCACTTGGAAATGAAATGGTGAAAATTTAATAATGTGAAAATGTATCCGAAATAATGATCGTGAGTTGACAGAAATATAAATCCATAACTGAAAGCAGCATATGCATCTGCAGTATATTATCCCGCGTAAATAGTTCTTGACTTGACTGTTGTGTAATTTTTTTAATCTCAAATCATAAAAGCATGTTTTCATTTATTATAATAAGACTAATGAATAATAAAAAAAAACTACTTCGTGCATCTAGAATAAACTATTACACATTATAAACAATTGTATTTGACCATTGCACAATTTTTTTATGCCAATTAAAAACAAGTACGACTTATTTTTAAATACTGGAAAGTTTTCTTATTTTATACTTTGATATTTTAACTGCACATAGAGCATGATTCAACATTTTTTTTTCTCTGAATAAAGTATGCAAGCTTGCCCCATGTGATGATTTTATTATCCTTTCATTCTAAACATTTATCACAATAATTCCAAACCCGAGCATTATTTATCTATGTCTGCGCGTGCGAGCACCTCCGCAAGAGTTGCCATTTGTCGACGCATTAATTCATTTGTTATTTATTTATTTTAAATATGGAACACTTTCCATTTTAATATGTGCTAAGCTTGTGATAGCGTAGCCTTCCGGAGGTCAGCCGATGGATGTACATGCTATAAAATATGTATACTCTGTAAAATAAATGAGCAGCCCTGGCCAAAAGACTGCATGCAAGTCATGCACGTCACATTTCCTGACTTGGCATAGACTGGTACAGCGCAAACACGAAATGTCCTATTTGGTAAATTAGCAACACAATATGTATTATTCGTATTCTTAGTATTCCGCTTGTTTACCCAGGAAAGCCTCGACATATCTCAAGACTCTTTCGTCAGGAGCTGGGTCCTGATGAGTTTTGACAGTGGAGGAGGGCGATGCTGTTAAGTGTCATCCCAATTGAATAATTTGCAGGAATATTGGCCACCATTGGGATGTTGTGGCCACTACCGCTTTTTTTTCCTGTTTCCCTTTTTTATACAGCGGCTTTATTTAGGCAATTGCATCGCACAACTCTGCGCAATCTGCAAACACGGAGAAGCGCGTATCGACCGAGATGTTTTCAGCCAATTGATGGGTGTTCATACATGTGGGAGGGAGACCAGAGGGCCGAGAGTATACCCCCCCCCCCCGTCCACAGGTGAGGAGACAACACACTGTCGTCGTTGTCGTCATCCGTGTATAACGGATTATAGTCGTCCACATTTGCTGTGCCGTCTTCTCCTGTCGAGCCACCACCTCAACGCCGACAGGAAGGGAGTTTCGAATTGTACGTTCATTTAACCATGGGTGGAAACTGGAAATCCAAGCGGAACATGGGGAGAACTTACAAGGTCCATACAAAAAGGGGCCTGAGTCGGGCATTGAACCCAGGCCATTCTTGCTGTGAGGCAGGAGTGTTCAAACCGCACTATCCTGCCCCCCAAATGCTGTTGGACTTTTAAATGTCACTCAGATAAGTGCATCGATTTATGAACACAAACTATTATTATTATTATTGTCGCCAATATGTAGAGCTGCATATAGAATAAATAAACAAGTAATTAGCATCGCCTACCACACTGCCGAGCCCAAAACAGCTGAACCATCTGTGCCATAGAATATCACAGAATGTCATTGTTTAACAGAGCAAAAAATGTTCCTTGTCTGCGTGAGCTTCACCACTGTCCAAGAAAATGTCCGACATCTTTCGTGTGCAGCGACCACGTGAACGAGCGAGAACTACGGCAGTGGTGAACACTTAGGGAAGCCTACACCGCCTTGCGGTCGTGTGCAGAGTTCATTTTGTTTGCGAAATTAGTTACTAAAACATCCAGCGACTCACTGAGTGTGTTTTTTTTTCCGCCAACAACGAGTGTACAATATTCGGAGCAGGGCTACGACTACGGCTACCGCCAAAGACCAGAGCACGATCGACTACACGGAGACAAAATTAACGGATCTGAATGAAGACGCTGACTAAGGTGACATCGTAACATTATCTTCAAGACAGCAGCGGAGACACACCAAACAATGGTGATTGGCTATATCTGTATGTTAAAGGGACTCTTACGCAGTTCCCCCATTTACTGAGAAAACCAAAAACTTAGGATGATGACACGAAATCGAGAGACGAAGGCTTGAAAAAGGTTCCCACAGGTTGTCGTCGATTCGGATGTAGGACTACAATCTAAACAACGATAAAGACCAAACGCCGACAAAATGAAACGTGGGTCGCGCGAGCGCTGAAACACACCGGCTTCTCACCTGGAGAGCGTTGATAATATAAAAAAACGGTCCTTTGTGAACTGCTGGGCAACGATCACATCCCCCTTCAACAAAGGGGGCGCCAAGAGGCTCGGGCCCTTGCGACCGTTACGCCTTTATCCACTCCCAATTCCCGCAGCGCAGGGCATTTATCAAGGAGAGTGTAAATAATCAGGCAGGGAGAGCGGCGAGGGACGGGCTGAGAATAAAATGAAAGAGTGGCTTGCGAGACAACAACGAGCAGCAACACAACAGGCAGGGCGGCCGGGGAGCGCGGCGGCGATAATGAGTCGATCCGAGGAGCCGCAGCATAGCCCGTGAAACATTACAAATCTCTGGCAATTTATCAGTTAAACGGAGTGTTCGGGTTCGAGACCGGGCTGGCATAATTTTCCGCAGGCTGCTAGTTACACGAGGGCACGTTGCATCAGCATGAGATGATCGCACCGCAACGCAAGGCGTTGCTTCGAGAGCGCGGCGCAAGACGGGGGGACGTGTGGGTCAAACGCTGCGGGTGATTCGAACTCTTTTGTTTACACACAATACGGTTTCTAACATTCAACCAAAGCTTGCAATTCGCAAGGGCTGCTGTAAAACATAGGCGTGGGGGGGGAGGGGGGAAGAGAGAGAGAAAAAAAACTCTAGATAATTTAAAGTTCACATTATCTGGATAGAAATGTTTTGTAATTGACTTTTTTACGCTGAAAGGGAAAGAAAATTTTATTGGCCGTCGTAAATTAGCCAAGCTTGGCGAAAGTTAGTTCCAAGCGCCGTAGTTGAAATGTGACGAAGCGGAGCGTTCCACTGCCTCCCAGAGAACAATCATTCCCTTGAGTGTATAATTAACACTCACATGTGACTCGATAAACCCCTAACATTTTGCACCAATGAATATGCAAAACAAGTGTTTTTGGGAACTGTAATTATGGTCTTTATAAAGCAATCCAAACATGACTCATTATGTACCCCTTTGGATCAACTATTTAATTGCAGCCTCGAACTTGCCAAGCAGTGGCAACAGTTAATTACAAATAATCAATTCTGGTTTTTTTTACGTGAATTCTTTACTCTCCAACAAAGAGCAAATACAAACTCAGGGCAAGAATCATCAGCCATCAGTGTACGTAGAAAACGTGATGAAGCGATGATTCCAGCTTGTGTCCAGATGCTAGGTGGCTTGTTGCTAGATTTGAAGTTTTCGTGAGTGCAAGGATTCACTCTTTGTTTTTTTTCGGTAAAGTTATGTAGGTATCACTTGATACAGTAATTTTGCCGTGACGATATCACTTGACACAGTAATTTTGCTGTGACGGTTCCACCTGAAGACGGACGCTTGTATTGCCTCCAAAACGTCGTGATTTTATTTATTTAAATTTTTTACCTACGTGACTTTACCGAAAAAACCAAAGAATCTGGCTTGCTGCATCACATAAATATTGAGAGATAGCGACGACTTTGCGGAGGCATTAAGCACGCCGGACGGTGTCGTTCACGAGGAACACTGCATAGGGGTCATCTATCGGTAAAGGTGCAGTTCCTTCACATTTCTTGCTCACATCGCTGATGGCAGAAAGGCCTCCCACTGGCAGGGCCACGTATTATTATTCTTATTGTGAACTATAATGTGTTATGTGTTTATAGCAGGGGGGCGGGGGTCAGACATCACCTCCATGCCCGAGGAGGGCCCCTCTCAGGCGGAACTCCAACTCCCTGGCTGCCTACGCACCCTTCTCCGTAAGACGTGTCCCTGCAGGCGGGCGCAAACACGGCCATCTCCATCAGGCTATCTTGTCCATTCTCCAGGCTCGGTCCTTTTCCCAGGTTCCTGCTCACGGCAAGGGTTCAGCACGCGCGCACCCGCACGCACACACTCTGGTCACTTGCTTCTCATTGTCACTCTTCCAGCTCCAATACCATGGTTTTTTTTATATTCTCAGGTTTTTTCGGTAAAGTCACGTTGGTAAAAAAATGAAAATGAATAAAAGTAAAATAAAAATAAAATAAAAATCACAAGCTTTCGTCTTCAGGTGGAACAGTCACAGCACGATAGCTGTATTTTTTTTTACCTACGTGACTTTACCGAAAAAACCTGAGAATATGAATCCTTGCAGTCACGACAGCTTCAAATCTAGAATACCATGGTTTTGTTGCGTAAGTACATTTTTCGCAGCCACACATAATCCAAGTGTGGATCTTCTTGGTTTGGCAACGTGCACTACTTTGGGCATCTTCAAGGAGTTGAAGGTGCCCGCAGGAGTGCGTGGTGGCAAAAGGCGTGAGAGAAGAAATTCTCAACACGCAGCCTGACACCCCAGGCCACACTTGGATTGCCATGGTTACTATTCCCATGAACTTTACTTATTGATTCCGCCATCCGTGTTGAATACCCCGTCTACGAGACTTCTCCATCCTGTGTTCAATCACAAGACCGGAGGCCTAAACGCTTCTACTATTTCTGATTTAATCATCACACTGCTCGACTTTGGAATTCCCTCCTTTTGCCTATGTTCCTAAGTTACTTCAACATTGCTCCATATGTATTACACCTTCTATGCTGACGTTTGTTTCTGGACGGTTATTGTTCTGCGCCTGGGCTCAGAAACTGCGACAAACAATGGAAATCCACGCACGCACGCTAGCACAAGCAAGAACGCACGCATGCACTTTCTTGAGCACAAACGTGCGCAAGCACCTCCAAGAAAAATGGAATACCAATGCTGTATTGATTTAGCAAAGAGTGGGGCAAATGACCGTTGCTGTAAAGGGCTAAATTCAGTGCCGACACGACAAAATTGTATCGGTGGGAACAGGTGGTAATGGGCGGTCCCCCCAATCTTCCATTCGCGTAAGAATGTCATGAGCGCACAATTAAATAGGTTATTCATGGTTGCGTCGTGCTGCTCTACGATGTGTTTCTGGGTCTGACCGCGTGTTGCTCTGCTGGTGTTGCCGGATCCTGAGCCAAACGGCATGGAGAACTGGCCACACGAGCAGCAGCCACAGCAGCAGCAGCCGCCGCAGCAGGCAATCGTGATGTACTCACACTGAGCCGCTCAATTTAGTTTGCGGAAAAGCTTCCAGCATGTGGAGCGAAACGACGGACGCCACGAAGAAGAAAGCGCGGTAACAACCAGAACACACATCGGAGAGAACTATACAATGAGAGTGTTCCCAGAATTCTGTGGGAACATCTGCAAACATTGTGCACTCGTGCTGGGCAATTTTTTTCTTTCTTAATAATTCAACTTAAGAGCCAACAACTTGTCGTGATTGGGAGCACGTAGAAGAACAATGGTGCCCCATGTGTGCTTTGTTAATTTTGAGAGAAACCCTTTGTCACGTTTAAGAGACAATCACAATTTCCCTAAACAACTGTAGAATAGAAAAAGTTATCACTGTTTATCACAAATAGCCACCTTGGACGTTTTTTTTCTTCGTCTCAATGAATCAATTTTCTTTTTATTTTGATTTCCATTAGAGTGGTAAAACTCCGCAGCATTACATTTTGGGCGACTATTCAATCAACAATTGTAAAGTAATCTAGAAGTATGGGCCACACGGGACTTGCTACCAACAGGGGGTATATAGCTTTGTGTTAACGCAGAAATCCAGTTAGAATATTTAATGCGTGAAGACAAAGGGATTGCTGCCGACAACAATAATAATAATGCCTCTCTCACTCTTGACCAATGGCCATCCTGGGTTGTGGATCACAGAATGCCTTGGTGCTTGGGACAACACCAGATAATAAGCTATAAAACGTGAAAATGGGAGACCCTTGGGTTAAACCGCCCGAGGATTTTTTTTTTAAGTATTGAAAAAAAAATAACAGCAGCAGGCAATTACACATTTGACAAGAAAAATTGCAAAGGCCTCTTGCAAGTGACCGCGTGTGTGTTTGTGTGTGTGTGTTTGGACAAGGCATGCGTATGCCAACATAAATACAGCCATTTAAGCGGGCATTTCCTATAATTTAGCATGAAAAATGTAACGCCTTTAAATTGCACCGGAAGAGACTGTTTTGTGTGTTGAGAAAACATGTATTTACTTTGGTGGTTGAAAAAAATGTTGAACCGAAGAATGTTACGCTAGACAATAAAATATAAACAAGGGAATACTAAAAGTAATAATAATGTTTGCTTGATTTTTGTACATAGTATGACATCACATACAAAAAGACCCCATCAATTATTAATACAGAAAAGCCACAGAAAATCAAGACTTTTTTTACAGGAGGATTGCATTACATTGGGATATTTGGCAAACTCCGATTGGATAATCAATAAGCTGTGAAGGAATCCGACTCATTTTAATGGAGATGCAGCTGTCGCCATTGAATTACGTGTCTGTTAAAGAATCCCAATTCAATTCTAATGCGATTCCTGGATCTTTATTCAAACAAATGTTCTTCGTGTGGCAATTCCAACGATCACCACATTCAAGAAAATGTTAATATAAAAACACAAGCGATTCCACAACAGCAACAATTCCAACTCGGAATCGTATACACGCACAATCATTGTACCGTGATTCCGGTTTGATGAATCGTGTTAATCTCCCCAGAACGAATGGGCTCTACTCTCTGATTTTGTGATTGCAGCTTGATGGCGGTACAGTAGCCGCTTCTATGAAATCAATGGGATCGGAGTGGCGAGTCAATGCTCGCCACCAAATAACACAATTTAGCAATTCCCCGCATTAGACACCGAGGATTCCAGAACACTTAAACAATCGCACGATCCAATTTGAGAACCTTACAACAATTCCAAGCATTCCACGCACCACGATTCCCATTCGACACACGTGGTGTCAATCGCCCGGCAGTAACAGGCCACACTCAGCAGTGGCGGTGCGGCGTGGCGGTGCGGTGCAGCGTGGGTACCTGCTTTCGAGCGGCACGCTGCCCACCCGCTCCCAGCCTCCCTCCTGGATCTGCAGGGCCGGCTGCCCCCCACCCTGATGCTGGGCACCCACGGGGCTGGGGTTGCGCCGCTCGCGGACGAACCCGCCCGGGTGCCCCAGCGTCTGGCTGTGGCCGTGCCCAGACGAGTTGCGGTGCGACGTGGAGTTGCGGTGCGACAGGGAGGTGAGCGACGGGTGGTGCTGCGTCAGGCCATGCGGGTGGGGCGCCTCGCCCAGGCCCTGGTGGTGGTGGTGGAGGTGGTGCGACACCGGCGGCAGCTGCGGCTGCCTCAGCGTGGCCTGGTTGTGATGGGTGGATGGTGTCAAGGGATCTGCGCGGCGGGAAGAGGAGAGAGGTAGGTTTGGGAGTGTCCACGTTAGTGCAATGGACTTTGGCACGTTGGTTTTCGCAGCCACTCGTAATCCAAATACGTGTTAAGAGTTTCTTCTCGACAGATTTTACCGGCACTATTGTGCGCATCTACAGGAGGTGAAGGGTTAGCGATCAGTTTAACAAACAGTAAGATTATGAATATTCAACTCCGCAAGATGCCCGCAGTCGTGGGTGGTGCAGCTTTAAAGAAGAACGTTGAACACAGAAGGGCACACTTAGAATGCAGTGGATTCTGGTTATCTAGATTAAACCGATAATGCAAATAAAAACATGTAAATTACACCACAAAAATTGTAATTGTTTACCTACGTATAATCGTGGTGAAGACATAGAACGTGTTGTCTGTTTTCATTGTCTCTTGAAAAAAAAGCGTACTCGCTAACAAGTTTGTGCTCACATGGGCACTGAGTCACTCATCCTGGATGAGTGAGGAGCTGGTAAGAATACATTCAGCAAGTTTACAAAAATATTTATTTCACGTATTTATTCACAGGAACAGTTAATCTGCCACCCAGATAATCCGCTCACGGAATATTGAGAGTTGACCGTAAACATAAAAAGGTCCTATTACTGAAAATAAGAGGTATGTATACATGGCTTTAAGCAATTGGTATGGAACAAGTCTGACACAGGTTAACCCCTGGGAAGGGGAAATGGTTGGGTAATTTATCATTAGTCCAATGAAAACGCGTCGACATTGGACGATAACACAGCCAACCAGCGCTGGCGCAAACGAGGCTAATTTTGGAGGCCGAATGTGACAAGCTCGCCGCTGAAACCCCCAAACGTTGAAGCAACATTAAATGTGTCCCGTTAACCGAGACCACAGTGGCAGAGAAATGTAATTACAGTAAAATCCACTTGTACTCCCGCTGTTAGGATACGCAAGCCAATGAGCACAGCGGCTCCCATTAGGAGGACAGTCACGTGGTCCACACGCTCACAAATCGCTCTCGCTCGACCACAATTACAGAACCGATGCGGTACTCGGACGGCTGTATAGTTATAATGGTTCAAATGCAAATTAACTTGCGCTGACCAGCGTGACTCTCTTGAATCACAACAGAAAGATAAAAACGTGTTTTTTTTACAAATTAAAATAACGTAATGTCACAAACAAATGTTTTTAATGTATTATTTAATGTGAGCAATTGAGCATCTTCCAGTGCGGCATCTGGGCGATGCTATTTCCTCTTCGTCTGTGAGTCGTTCTCATTCCTGGGCCATGTGCTTTTCCTTTGCTGCAGAGATCTGCCAAAATTGCTCCGCTAATTTTAAGATCCTGTCCCGATCGTGAATTATTGTTCAATCCTTCTCCCCGAGGGCCTACCATTTGTGAATTGCCAATCATCAACCTCCGCTTTTGCTGCCTCCATGCCCCCCCCCTCTCGCCCCCCCCGCCTACTTGCTATGACGTCTTCAATCATGTTTGTGTCCTTCTCCGCTTTCTCTCCTCAATTTTTCTCCATCCTCCCCCCCCCCCCTCCCGTGTCTCGTTTTACACAGCTTCTGATGAATTAAGCATCGTACGCACGCAAGTACGGACCGCTGAGGATCGCATTGATTGCTACGGCAGCAAAGAACAACCATTCCCGGCTGCAACGAAGGATCTTATTCAAGATCCACAAGGCCCACCCCCCCCCGCGCACCTCTCTTGTCACAGTGTGTACTCTCTCCCCATTTGCTCAGCACGCATTCACGGTTAAGGACGCACTATCAGTTTAGTGACTTTACAATCTGGCAATTTATTCCTTTGGTGGAATGGGCCTTTTTTTTTTTTGCTGATCACGAGCGACTGGGCCAAGATTTGCTGCGCTGTCTGTGCTTGCCGTGCGCGTAGGGAAGAACAGCAAACACAGCTCACCCGACCATTCATGGGTGCCGGTCACTGGCAACCGTGATGCCAATAAACATACATTACACACGTACGGCTATTTTTGCCAATCCACTGCTGGATGAAGGGCTGTACACGCCATGCAGGCCACGGGAGGTTATTTGAGCACCACGCTGTTCAGTGCAGGTTGGCGAAGGCGGGGAGCATTGACGTGGATTACAGCCGGGAGGCGATGGCTGTCCATGCCGGTAATCCAGGGCTGTGGAGGCAAGGTTTGGTAGATCGCACGGATGTTGGGAAACTTCCTGCCCCATGGGCACTGAGGTGTGATACCCTGGCTCGCCAAGAGAAGGCAGAACAGCAAAAATTGTGGACTCCGCCTCAATGTCCATCTTTATGGGGATAGCGCGTTTCCCCCTTGCAGGCGTGGCTTTTCTCTGGGCGCTCAGGTTTTCTCCGACATGTAAACACTCCTTAATTGGCCGATAACACCTTAATATACAGAAGGCCACAGAGCTTTGGCAATTGTTGGCGCCGGCTCATCGCGTGGCTGCCTTCCTGCTTGTCTGTGCTTTCCAGCACCTCCAAGTCATTCTCTCTGTTTGAGAGTAACAAAATACTGTGCGTGTTACAAGTCGACATTATACATAGCATAAGTACGGGACAATAATAAATCATGATGCCCTGTGCCCACGACATAGCCCAGTTTATTAAACAACTGTTTCATATAGGGGGTCACCCATCCAAGCATTATTCAGGCTCAAGTCTGCTTAGCTTCTGAGATCTGAAGATCGGGCAGATTCCTGGAGAAATTGGTCATAGGTGGGCCTTACCTGGTGAAATATATATTTCCTTATTCAAACAAGGGACCTGACAGATATCCGGTATTAATTCAACATACCACATGTCATCCGCTGAAGAAGACATTCCAGCAGCTATCACCACCCATTTTGTGGCTTTAAAAGAGAGGTCACGCACGCACGCAATCGCACCTCTTAAGTTTGTGTGGTCTTTGGAATTGCATTGTTACATTTCTAGCACATCCCACGAAAGCCCGCAGAAATTAAATGAAAGAGTATAATTTCAAACTGCGCCCTCAAGAGATTCAGAAAGCAGGTCGCCGGTTATAATTTTACGAGCCATTTTATTATCTCTCAATGTGCACTTCTGTGAACTCCACCCCCACCCCATTCCGTCGACATTTCCCAGCAGGGGCGTAAAGAAATGGCACATTTGCGCATGGAAACACAAATCGCCCATTAAACACAGCCACAACAAGACCTGCCTCCATAAGGCAGTCGGTCGGGTTCACGGCATGTGTGTAGGTCTCTGGTGTGTGATGTGTCGCGATGCTTTTGACTATTAAAAAAATGCACTCTCTGTAACCGAGCAATCTTAATGCACACCTTTGCGGGGTGAGCGCGGCGTTCTGGTGTTGTGGCCCGCGCGCACTTTTTGTGTGCGCCTCCAAACTAAGATCACAGTTCCGGCCGGCGGCTTTGACGCCGATGCAACGCCGCGAGGAGCGGTGCGCTCAACCGTACGGCGAATCTTTATTTTGGCAACAAAAGCCGCTGGTGGAGCGCGGCGGCGGCGGCAGCGACTAAAAACACCAAACACACGGAAAGAACTGCGCGAGACACGGGGAAAAAGGCTCGCCTGACTGAAATTATCGCTACCTAATGGTGCGTGAAAAAAAGAATGGTGCAATGTTACCGGTGGAGTGTTGTGGAAAAGAAAACCCAACAACCCCTTTCCTACTGCTGCTCACACACCCCCCTCCTAACCTCCCCCCCCGACACCCCCTCACCTCGCTGAGAGGGTGCCGTAATATCTTGCGGCGCTACAAAGACGGTGAGGGATTTCTTCGGTGAATTTAGCCACGTCGTGGCAAAGGAGAGCTGTTTGGGGGAGGGCTGTCGGCAGCTACCGTCGAATCAAAAGCTCGGGCGGTTTAAAAACTCGGCACCTCGGGGCTGCACGGCAGAACACGGCAGTGCAAAGTGGATCTCGTCCTTCAGAAAGGATGCGTACCATCCGCACCGCGACACTTTGGTGGGCGTCAAGTCTCGGCGCTCTGCTTCTTCTTCAAAGAGACGCACAGCGTTTCAAATTTCATGGACAGTGCCATCACACAATCGCAGAGTACCCCGTCGCCCTAAAGAATATGCTTTTGCACGTAGCGTGAATTTTTGGAGCGTCTAAATACGAGAGGACGTGGAAACAGTGCCGTGTGTTTCGCATTGCTTTGATTAGTAAGACTACCGTACTGTATGTCTCGTGTGCTGGGTTTCAGGGTAGTGCCGTATCGCTCTCCGATGTGTGTTCAGGTTTTGCCAAATGTCTGTTTAAAATTTCACTTTTTTTACGTTAATTTACAACCCGACTTAAAAAAAAGAATATATACGTTAAATCCAGTATGTAAAATATGACATTAAAATCCATTCAAAAATATTCTCCCTTTCTCCATTGCAAAGACAAACACTGCTCAAAGGGCTGATGGCGGATGGTCAAGACTAACGCCAGAGTGGCAACTACAGAACATTCTGTCCAAGAATACGTTCACCGAGAAGATGGAGCGATGGAATCGGCTCATGTGCAGCTGCGAGGTTGATTACTAACATCACAGGATCATGATAGATGGGTGACGGGCTTTGGGAGGCCTTCATCCAGCAGCGGATTGATCATGGCTAATAATGATTATGAATGTTTAACACGTAGGCTTTCACGACCAATATTATTCTTAATAGGTTTTTGGGTTCGATCGCGTAAATATAAATGTGCCATTAAAACCGCTGCCAGCACCCGACACAGCTCATTAGTAAGGTTTGTCACGTAAACAAAAAAAAGGTCAACTCTGGCTGTCGCCTGATGATGCTCGTTGTAATTACTGGCGCAACGTCATACTCGAATTGTAAATTTCGATTTAAAGCTTTCGTGACTGCAGGGATTCATCTTCTTGGTTCTTTCGGTAAAGTCACGTAGAATGGAAATAATAAAATAATAAAAATAAAACATAATAAAATAATTTTCACGACGTTTCGGCCACAATGCAAGCAGCCGTCCTCAGGTGAAGAACAGGTCTGTCGAGAAGACAGAGTCAC